TGAGGCAGAAGCTGTTCCCTGTGAGGGTGCTGAGGCGCTGGCACAGGATGCCCAGAGAAGCTGTGGCTGCCCCATCCCTGGCAGTGTTCAAGGCCAGGTTGGACACAGGGGCTTGGAGCAACCTGCTCTAGTTGAAGGTGTCCCTGCCCGGGGCAGGGGTTGGAGCTGGAGGAGCTTTGAGCTCCCTCCCCACGCAAACCAGTCTGGGATTCCCTGATTTTCTAGTCTGAGGGTGCTTTTAGGTTTCCTGGGGACACAGGAACATGGGTTTGATGTCTCAGATGTTTAACATCTTTCAATAGGCTGGCTGGGAAGCTGATACCTGTGTGCATAACCAGTATTATTGCTTGAGCTGGTGATACAAATACTGCCTGGGCATCTGCCTGCCAGCCATGGCTTGAGATATAACCATCTTAAAAAGATGCGCATCTAAGCTGGCTTTTTAAAGAAGATGTTCTGACAAATCCTTTGCTGTAACTGATGTTTCTCATGGTAGTAATAAATAATCCAATTCACCATGTTTAAAATAATTACTTATGCTTTAATCAAACTAGTAGCAGCGGCAATGTACAAACATGCACACTTCTGGAATACAAGGACATGCAGATCTCCTGGTACTGGTTAGATCTGTGCAAGATACTCTCTTCTAGGGGTGTAACTCAGTAGTTAACAGCTGTAATTTAGATTAATTTACAGTAGCCTCGTTTTTAGAAGATGGAAAGAGCTGAGTTTGTTTTCCAGGAGTGCACCTTTGAATGCAGAAGGATCAAAAACTGTACTGAGTGTATCACAGAAGTAGCAGTGATAAAAGTCCTTTCTCCACAGATACTAGAGTAACCTGTACTCAGGTGTTATCAGGAATATGATGATATTAAGTACAGGCTTACTAAAAAGGCACATGTATCTGTTGTGGGTTTTGGGGGTTTCAACTAAGTTAATTTTTAATATACTTGAGATGCAGTGAGTATTCAAGCAGAATAAATAGGTTATGCTTGAGCAGTTCTTGCCGCTGGGGCAGAAATATGTATGTAAGATTTTGCTTTGTTTAATAATCTAATTAACTGAAGGGAGTTTAATGGGAAATCTGGTTTCTAGCTACTGTGAAGGCAAAGAGGAAAAGCTTGGTTACGCTCTTTGTTGCCTGTCCTGTAGCAGTCCTGTGTTTTCCAGCATTGCCTTGCAGTGACTATAGAGTAACTTTTCTTTCTCTCAGATCGTATTGGATTTTAGGCTGAAATCAAATTACCCTTTTTCTACTTCAACCTGATACGTTGTTCACATACAGCCTGTTTGAATTCACATCTGGAATCAGCTCTGTGTTATTTCTGGGTAGCTGCCATGTCTTTCTGTAGTGCTTATTAATGTAATGTTCATGAGGACTTGCTTGAAGATTTTTTTAAGTCATTCCCCTCACTGCTTTTGTCTTGTCTCCTGGTTTAGCAGAGCTCACAGTAACCTGAATTAAGGTGGTTACTGACTCTTTTTTACTATGCCCAGCTTTTAAAGTACTTGCTTTATCGAAGGGATTCTTCACTGATGTTTTCAAACCTGAGTCTGTCTTTCTTCTCTCATTTAAACCCGAGGTTTCATCGAGAGGAAAACTGACTTTGTCTTTCTCCCCTCCCCTTACAGAGCTCCTCATCTGGGTAGAGAGCTGGTCTGCAAAGAAAGCAAGAAAACCTTTAAAGCCACGATAGCTATGAGCCAGGAATTTCCCTTAGGAATTGAATCGTAAGTCAAAATAAGTGGCTGTGAATGTTATTAATGTGTAGGAAATGTTTTAATGTGTTTATGAACTGCAGAATTCTTCGTATCTTCAGATAGGAAAATTGGGCAGCTTCAAACCTGTGACTGGAGTCACGCTGCTAAGCAAATACACAGCTAAATTAGAGACCTCGGTGCTGGGGTGCCTGTTATGAGAAGAGCCGAGCACTTACCTTAGTTACCAAACCAGAGAGGTTTGACCACGTTTATCATGTACCTGTAGGAGCGAGGCCAGAGGAGGCCCCGGAGCTGCTGCGAGGGCTGGAGCAGCTCTGCTCTGGAGCCAGGCTGAGAGAGCTGGGCTGGGGCAGCTGGAGAAGAGAAGGCTCCTTAAGCTGGAACTGGAGGAGCTTTAAGGTCCCTTCCAATCCAAGCTGTTCTGTGAATAACTTGTCATAATGCTGATGTGCCTGCTTCTACAGAATTCTAGAAGGCTTTTGCCTGTGCCAGGTCTTAGCACGAAGTTATGTCCTCTTCTCTAAAGGGAAAGCTGTGAAAGAAAAATTTGTAATGAAATCTGTTTTTCTTTTCAGATTGTTGAATGTTTTAGAAGTAATTGCACCCTTCAAGCACTTTAACAAACTTAGGGAATTTGTTCAAATGAAGCTTCCACCAGGCTTTCCTGTGAAATTAGGTAAGATGACTACAGCAGCTCTTGTAGCTATGTATTTCCAGAATGGGGGGACTTGCTTATGCAATATGTTCAAAACTTCAGCTGAGTTTTGGAAAAGGACTCTCTTACCTGAAGAGTGTGTTGCTGTAGACTTCAGGAGGAAGAGTTAAGTTTGTGGAAGTAACATTAGGTAGGAAATGTGCAGCTGAAAGGTGAATAGTCCTAGTCAGGAAGAAGGCTTGGTTATTTACATTTTCCTTATGCTTGCTCTAAGAGTGATGCAGAAGTGCTGAGTTGTCTTTGCATTGATGGCTGATCTCAGTCATGAGTTAAGTATTTCGTAGCATTTTTGTATTTCTTTCTCCTCAAGGGTTACTGGTGGTACATTTTTCACTTAGACAAAGAGAAAACTATGACACTTCTAACCAGTGGAAACGTGTAAAGCAGTTTATTCATGGTATAGATTCTCACAGCATAGACTGCCAAAAAGTAAGAAGTGTGACACCTTCCTAAGCGCGACAGGATTTCTGTCATCCCAGTAAGCTGCTTAAGCTCGACAAGTCTGAACGGACTCTTCTGCCTCCTGTCCCGTTTGCACAGCCCTGTTTATTGAGGACTGAATTTTTGCTGAGCTCAGCAAGTTAGTTCCTGGGCAGGCCAGTTTTATCGAGGATAACTCTTAAGTGTTCAAGCTCAATCCAGATTGGAAAAGGATGATATTTTAAAGCAAACATGGACAAGGTTCATCTTTTCATGTGCATTTGCTCGAGGGAAGCCTACCCGTGGCAAGGGTGTCTTATCTTGGAGGCCAATATCCTCTGTTTTAACAGATTAATCTGTATGTTCACATCACCTTGGTTTCCATGTCATCAGGCTGCATCAGGAAAGGAAAATCCCTGGATTTATATTATTAAGAGTTTTCGGAAAGGTGTGTTGGGCTGGGTATTGGTTCTGTGCTCAGGGTATCTGCGTATATTCTGAAGTAACTTTCTTTAAACCCCCTCCTTTAAGAGCTTCGAACACCCAACAAGCTTCTACGTCCCTGCCAAGCCTGAAGTTGCAAAGCCCTGAGTAACAGTAGGTGCTTCTTGGCAAGGTTGTGTTTCTTTGCCCTTCATTGTACCATTTTTCTCCCTGTCCAGATATTCCTGTATTTCCCACCATCACGGCCACTGTGACTTTTCAGGAGTTCCGTTACGATGAGTTTGATGATTCCATCTTCACTATTCCTGATGACTACAAGGAGGACCCCAGCCGTTTCCCTGATCTCTAACTGAACTGGAAGGTGAATGGGGAATACCAATACCAGCGTACCACAGTGAAAGCAAATGGCTGCAAAAAGAGCCCACAGATAGAGCTAGAAAAAGTGGGTCGTGAAGGAAGGGATAAACTTAATAATGCAGAAGAAAAGGGAACATGTATCAAACGACTGATGTACTGTACTCACTATAACGGGCATCTAATGTAGTCCCTGATCTCCAGCAAGCCTCCCGCTGTGCCGCTGGCCCCCGGCTCCGCAGGCCTGCAGCGTGGAGCTGCGCCCCGCTGGCCCTGGGGCCCCTCAGCAGCCCTGAGGACTGTCATTTGGGTTTAGGTTTTTTACATTTCGGGGTGACGCAGAAGCACTCTGGACCATTCGCGCACAGCTGCCGTGGCTTAGCTGGGTGTTGGCCCTACACATCATCCCACCCTGCTTACGACTGACCATAGTGTATCCTTTCAAGCTTTGTTTTCATGGATTGTAAACTACGTATCACAATGTATAGTTCAGTAATCTGAATGTTAGCTGGACGTATGTTAGAAGGAATGCTTTTTCTGTAGAGGAATGAACCAAATGGTAACCATTAAACAGTTGGGTTTTCACACTGCAGTACACTTCAGAGATAGCATTTGCTCTGCAGGGAATAAGGTACCTCCTCTAGCACCTTAGTGCGGTCCATTGTGGTGCTATCCATGTCTCTGAACCCTTCGTTTCTTCTCGTGTTGGCTTCACGCTCAGCTTCTCTCCATCACGCTGGCTTGGACATCCCTGCTGTGCCCATGATGCTGTGCTGATGAACGTGCTCGGGGAGGGGGGTTGTTAACTTCAGATTGTCACTTTTTCCTTCTCTTTTCACATCCACGTAGGAGACTTGCTCCATAATGGTTGAGGTCATCTTGTGTCTGTGTTCAGCGGCCACTCGGAACCATGGGGTGCATAGAAAGAGTTACTAGAACAGTACACTCGAGCATTAAGCCTTCATACAAGGAGTTGTTTCTCTTGAAGTTAGTTTAATTGTAGTGCACATTGAATAGGGCTCACGTTGGAAGACTTGATTTGCAGGTTTAATTTCCTTCCTCTTGATATTTTGTAGGTAGGTGCTTCAGTACTCTGGCTTCTTGAGCTTACTCTCATTCCAAGTGGTTCCAGTCTCCTAATTTGACAATAATCCAGCTTTTTTTGGTTTGTTAGAAAGAACTTGTGCAAAAGGCTAATGGTGCTATTTGTTTGTATTGAGAAATTTAGATTAAAGTGCTGTGGTGTAATTGTACAAAATGTAAATACTTCCAAAATGATATTCTTTGTGCACTGTAGTTAAAACTGTTTTCTGGGAAGCACTAGAGTCAAGTATCAAACTTTATATCAAAGACTCCCATCCATGCTTAGTAACTAACCATGCAGGTGATGAGTGGAGGTGGCTTATTGCAGGGCAATAGGAGCTGGCTTGTGAGGCACATCGACAGCACAGGGAAATACCCCTCCCAAGCAGACGTTCCTTCAAAGCTTGTGGCCTCCATCTGTGTGGAACCCAAAGAGGCAGCTCCAGGGAAGAGCAGGATCCACCTTAGGTGGAGTCCCAGGGAATTGCTGTCAGCGAAGTACAGATGAACTGAGAAGGGGAAGGGAGGTTGAGCCTCTCCCAGTGTCACTAGAAACCTGCAGGCTGGACGGGTGAGTGACGCTGCGACCGATGCGCTGGAGTTGAGGTCCAAAACCAGTTGGAAAACAGGGAAGAAAGCAAAGGGAAACGCAGAACTGCAGTAACTCCTGAGGTGCTGCACCAGCGGCAGATGTTGAACATCCGGTGGGAATGATGGAACTTGTTCTTCCAAGTAATTATGAATTCCTGGGGTGTTCCACATCTGTGACGTAACCCAGCACCCACCGTGTGCTCCCGCAGGGCTCAGCCGGGCTCCCTGCGGGGGGGACCAGGCTGCCCTGTCGGGGCGCAGCGGCAGTGGGGCTGCAGACCGGGTTCTGCTGCCACCTCTTCTGCATGGCCCTGGCAGGGTGGAGGGTCCTGTTGTGCTGGGACGGCACCAGTGCGGGCAGGTACAGGAGCTCTTGGCAATGGCAGCAGCAGCAGGTTTCTCCTTGAGCTGAATGTCAGAAATCCCCTTTCCCAGCGTTGCAGGGGAGGAACCGGGCATTTCGTGTGACTTTGGTCATTCCAAATGGCCATCCAGAGCTCGCTGGCCGAGGAAGGAGTGTTCAGAGCTGGGGCTCTTCAGGTGATGCAGCGGCTGGCGTGGCCTGGGGTTTGGGAAAAAACAGAACAAAA